TACGTGCAACTATTTTAAGAGGGGTGAAAACATTTAATTTTGCAGTTAAAAAGCTGACAGTGGCTGTGTCTGTCTGGTGTTTGGGCCTCTTGTTAGTGTGAATGGGTGTGTCAAAGGGTTTGGGTTTGTTGGGCGGCCGTGTAAATGACTGCTCTCAGATCCTTTCCTTTTAATAGGTGTGGGAGGCAGGGTACAGGATGAGAAGACTGGGAAGAGTGACAGACCTTGCCCAAGTGATGTCAGCCTAGCTATCTTCTTGTCCAGACTTGAAACTGTGAGAAACTTATGTCCGGAATGAGGTGATCCCTAATTGTTTTCACTTGGGCAGGGAGAGGTAGAAGCTGGGTCCTGAACACCTGACGATGGAGCTGTAAGGATGCACTGGACGGTTTACAGACTTTCGTGTGAGCAGTGCTGAAGTGCACAAAGGAGCATCTTCTCGTATTGCTTATTCATCAGGCTGTCATAGCTTTGATGAGTGTCCTTAGGGGTATACATGATACAGGCCCTCGCTGACCGTGCTGTTCCCTTCTCCCCCTCTCTCACGAATGGTTTTGTTGTATTAGATCAGTCTATATTCTATTTAGACCTTTACCTTTGTGGGACTGCAATTCTTAAGAGCTAGGAATTTTATAAATGTAGAGACCACATTCAGGAAGCAATCAAATGCATTTCTATAAGACCGCTCATTTGTGGGGTAGCCTGGGTGGCTCTGTCAGTTAAGCATCTCCCTTCGGCTCAGGTCATGATCTCAGGGTCCTGGGTTCGAGCCTGTTGTTGTGCTCCCTGCTCAGGGGTGTTTGCTTCTCCCTCTCCCTTTGCCTCCTCCCCGCTGCTTGTGCCCTGTCTCTCTCTCTCTCAAATAAATAAGTAAAATCTTTAAAAAAAAAAAAAAAAAAAGAAAGAAAAGACTGCTCACTTGTTATAGGTATGATCTGAAGGACGCTCATGCTCTTTCTTAGAGTTCTCAAATCTTTTCCTGTATGTTTTAGTTAACTGTAAGATGTTGGAAATTAAAAAAGAGGCATGGCCTCATTCGTTACTTTCTGAACCCCTTGTGTGGGTCCGAACATTAGATAGAAAATGTGGGAGGTCTCTCGCAGCAGTTTGCCTTTAGTCATGGAGCATCTAGGATCCAGTTAGAGGAGAGGTGGTGGCATGGGAGAGCTGTCTGGGGACCTCACACAGTGCTTCCACGTTTATTTGCGGTGGAAGAAGGCAAGCATTTTTGTCCTCACTTTACAGATGAGGAAGCAGGATACTGCTTCATGTCAAACAGCTGATCACCCAGACCCTGCTCACACTCTTCACAGCTGCCTTTCCAGTGTGGACAGTGGGAGAGTGAGAGCAAGTTTGAACTAAGCCTTGAAGTGTGGAGGCCAGCCCGAGGCCTCATCGGGAGGCTGCGTGAGCTGTAAAAGCCAGTTAGAAGCCAGTGCGCTACCCAGGGCCCCCCTGTTACTTACCCTGTTCCTTGGAGCCTTGCCCTCAGGCTGGAGGTGTGTAACAGGGTGAGGTGTCTGTTGCACATCGTATTTGGTCTCAAGCCCTTGTCTTTGTTTTTGAGGCCGAGCCACAAAGACTGCATCAGAGTGGCCGAGATGTAAACAAGCAGGCTGGCAGGTTGGTGTGGGAGCGCTTCACTGCCCTCACTGCCCGGGAGCTCTTAGCACCATTTGTGGATTCTTCCAGCTTGAAAAACCCAGGACCTATGGAGTGCTCAATATTGTTTACATGATACATTTGCAGCTTTTTGAGGAACATAGAAATAGGACTTTCCTTCTCTTAATCTATCTTTTTTAATGCGAAAATACTTTAAAAGGAATTACCAAGCCAACCTCAGCATTTAAAATTTTACATTTTGGGTGTTGTAAATGCAGAGGTAGAGGAGGCCTGGCTTAGAGAGCACTTGACTGCTGTCCTACATTTCGGAGACATTCCCTCCAAGGCTGTTTCTCTGAAGGATTGAAGATAAAAGCAACTGAACTTTGTTTAATTGACTTATTAACATTTTAAAGGACACTAAAGGTCATAGCCCAGGTGACTGCAGTTAATTTACTCAGTTTACAGACCATTCTTCTAAGTCTTGTGCTTAAGTACATGTAGGTCTTTCTGTCTAGGATTTCAGCTTGCTTTCTTCCTTCTGCTCTGCTGGTCACGTTGGGTTTTGTGTGCCTGTTTTAAGGTGACTTTATTTGGCCTGGCATGTGTGTCAGGCCTAGGCCCAGTGATGCCAGGAACACAAGGATGAGTAAGAGGCGTCCTCTTTGGAGGCCTCAGCCTGGTTGGGATCACAGTGGCGACTCAAATAAGGTTCAGGCCAGACCGCTCTGGAGAAGGGGTGGTTCTGGTGAAATCAGTGTGTAGAGGTGGGTCTCAAAGGATGGGAAGAAGGGGCGAAGGTTTATCAAGTGCCAGGCTCTGCTCTGGGTGCCACCTGTGTAGAATTTCTCCTTATAACAACCATATAAAGTACATTCAGTTGTTGGTCTGCATTCTGTACAGGAAATTAAGATGAAAAAGAAGGAACTTTTCTAAGGACCCACAGCTCAACAGTGGTACTGCTGGGATTCTAGCTCAGGCAGTCTGGCTGAGAGTCTATTCTGTGAGGTGCTGCACGAGGCGAGTGGGATTTGGACCAATGAAGAGTAAGGGCTATGGACTCTCAGGCAGTAGATGGGGGAGCCACAGTGATTGAAGGAGCCGATGCAGTTGGTTAGGACCTTGTGATTGATGCCCTCCGGTCCCACACTGAAGGGGATGAGTGTAACGTCCTATTCTAGGTTTTATGGGTCCCTGTGCTGGTGCAGCATTGTATTTGTAACTCAGTGGCCAGTGGGGAAGTTGTGGAGGTCTTTGAGTCCTGGAGTTGCAGAGCTTCTTGACTTCTACTCTTCAGACTGGCCTGGATTTTTGGCATCCATTCCCTGAGTAGGTGAACATGTAGGTCTCAGCCCTTGCTGGCCTCTTCCCATTGTTTTTCCTTCCTTTCCTTGTTTCTGGGAAGAGTGTTGTAGAAGATCATCTGAACTGCTTCTACTTCTTTACCTCATCATCCAGTCTTCACCATTACCTCCGATCTATCCTATGTCATCCCACTGGAACTGTTGCTACTAAGGAGTCTGAGTGGCTGACTGATCAGTCTGGTGAGGACTTTTTTGTCTTTGACTTGCCCAGTAGCTTCCGACCAGGGGCAGTTTTGCTCCATCTCTTCTTCCTTGGATATCCCTTGGATAGCTGGCAATGTGTAGAGACATTTTTGGGTGTCACAGTTGTTTTGAGTCAGCCCTCTGTTCTTAAAACTTTCCAGCTGCCTTGATAGAATTCTCTCCTGGCTTGTCTTACAGTGAATCCTCAGTTCATTCCTTACCGTCTTCTGTAGAGGACCCTTCTTCAGCCTTTTTATGTTGCTTCTCAGGATTCTTTTCTTCTCCTCATATGCCTCTTGCGTGAGCTCCTCAGTCCAGGGATTTAACTTCCATCTCTGGTTGTGTGGCTACCCATCTGTTTGCAGGCTCCAGGTCTTTGGGCTCCAGTCATGTCTTTCTCCACCTCATTGGTACACAGGTATTTTCAATTCAGCAGGTCTAAAATAAGGCCAGCCCAAAGTTGTCTTTGTCCATTTGTCCAAACTTGCCTCTCCCATGTTTGCCGTCCGTCAGTGTTTGCTCCCCTCCAACAGTGAGCTCCATTTTACGCTGCTGCTGCTGTTGCTCAGGCACACATGCATGTCTCACCTGGATTACTGCCTCTCTGCCCCCTCAACTCTGCAGCCTCATGTCCCACACTGCTACCAGGGGGAGCTTTCCAGAACAGAACTCTGAGGGTTCTCCGCTACAACAGATAAAGTCTGAGGTGAGCTTGGCATGTGCAGCCTTCTAGACCAAGCCCTTTGGTTCCAACTAGGAGGTGGAGTTTCAGCTCTCCAGAAAGCCCTTTTGAAAACCTTATGGGTGTTGGAGTAACTGGAATCCACTGGAATCTCCATAAATCCTATTTACTTCTTAAGAGATGGGTTCTACTTTGTGTCACCAAATTTCCCTCCTTTTGGGGAAACTGGCCATTTATTTATTTAAAAAAAGATTTTATTTATTTATTCCACAGAGAAAGAGATCACAAGTAGGCAGAGAGGCAGGCCGGGGTGTGATGGGGGAAGCAGGCGCCCTGCTGAGCAGAGAGCCTGATGTGGGGCTTGATCCCAGGACCCTGGGATCATGACCAGAGCCGAAGGCAGAGGCCCAATCCACTGAGCCACCCAGGCGCCCCAGAAACTGGCCTTTTAGATGGCCTATGGGGCATGTGATTAAATAGGGTAGAAGTATCTTGGTGTTCCTAGTTTCTCTCCTGATAGCTTTAGGAGAATTCTGGTTTTTTCCTTCATGTCCTGGCAGTGCAATTCTGTGTAGACCAACAGTTAGGTTGACCAGATAGATATTCCTGCCATTAGGTATCAGACCATTCTAGAAGGGAATTGGGGATGAGGGAATTCTGTTTTCTAATTTTTTTGTGGTATTCAGTATAACCTAACACTTGTGATAAAGGACTTTCAGGGTCCTTTTGGAGCTGGTAGGTTAAGTGGCTTCATCATATTATTTCCTAGTTCACTGGAGTGATTCCTCTCTAAGAGCCTTGGAACTGCCTGTCATTACATCCACATCTTAGGAAAACCTCATAGTACACTACAATGTTGGAAGTACTGACATACAGCTAATTGCACTGTGAAGGATTTGGACTTTTTGAAGCTTACTGGTGTGTTTTTCAGCAGATAACAAATATCTGAAAATAAATTCCTCTGGCACAACATAATACTAGAAGGAAGTAGTCAGTGTTTTTTAATCCTGCCTGGTATGACTCCAGCGGTGGAAATCATGACACCATGAAATTGTTCTGTTGGCACGAATGGGCTCATGTGGGGATGGTAGCTTTGCGCTCCAGCGTGGTGCCTGCTGGAATCCCAGCTCCCGCGTGCTGAACCTCTCTCTCTCCGTGTTTCTCCCCAGAAGCCCCGTGTGCCACGCCCCTGATCTGCAGCTTTGGGCGGCCGGTGGACCTGGACAAGGACGACTACCAGAAGGTGGTGTGCAACAACGAGCATTGCCCCTACAGCAGCTGGATGCACCTGCAGTGTTTCTACGAGTGGGAGAGCAGCATCCTGGTCCAATTTAACTGCATCGGCCGCGCACGCAGCTGGAATGAGAAGCAGTGCCGCCAGAACATGTGGACAAAGAAGGGCTATGACCTGGCCTTCCGCTTCTGCTCCTGCCGCTGTGGACAGGGCCACTTAAAAAAGGACACAGACTGGTATCAGGTGAAGCGGATGCAGGATGAGAAAAAGAAGAAATCTGGGTCAGAGAAGAACACAGGGAGGCCCCCTGGTGAAGCGGGGGAGGAGGCCAAAAAGTGCCGGCCGCCCAACAAGCCCCAGAAAGGCCTGAGCCACGACCTCCCCCGGCGGCACTCCATGGACCGGCAGAACTCCCAGGAGAAAGCGGTCGGGGCAGCAGCCTATGGGGCGCGCTCCCCCTGCGCCTCCCCGGGCCAGTCCCCGCCTACCGGCTACTCCATCCTCTCCCCTGCCCACTTTAGCGGCCCTCGCTCCTCGAGATATCTCGGGGAATTCCTAAAGAATGCCATCCATCTGGAGCCTCACAAAAAGGCCATGGCCGGGGGCCATGTGTTCCGAAACACCCACTTTGACTACAGTCCGGCTGGGTTATCGGTGCACCGGGGGGGCCACTTTGATGCGCCCGTGCAGTTCCTGCGGCGCCTGGACCTGTCCGAGCTGCTCACGCACATCCCCAGGCATAAGTTGAACACTTTCCACGTGCGGATGGAAGACGATGCCCAGATGGGCCAGGGCGAGGATCTGCGGAAGTTCATCCTTGCGGCCCTCAGTGCCAGCCACAGGAATGTTGTAAACTGCGCTCTGTGCCACCGGGCACTCCCGGTGTTCGAACAGTTCCCTTTGGTGGACGGAACTCTGTTCTTAAGCCCGTCGAGACACGATGAGATCGAGTATGACGTCCCGTGTCATCTTCAAGGTACAGGCGTTCATCCACCTTGCCTGTTTTCCGTTTGTTAAAAGCCGAGAAGCAGGGTGGGCTTGCTCTCTTCTGGCTTCAGTGTAATGGCGGGTGCCTCTTGTTCTAGTTGGGTGCCCAGCGCTGTTGGGGTGTTTCGGCTTTGCCCCTTGAGGTGGTGGAGGGGGTGCTGGGCTTTTTTTCTTTACTCTTGATGTCACTGTACGAAATACAGTTGTCCAGGTGGGCCATTTTATGTTTTTGTTCTGCTGTCATTTGAAGGGAGGATTCCTCGTGTACAGTTTTCCTTTACTGGGAGGGAATTGAGTAGGAATTGCATAACTATATCACTTGGTGTGAAACAGTTGCCTTTGCAACCTGTGTTAATGTGCCCAGTGTATTCTCTTTGATCCTTGTAAATGTAAGGGAGTAACAGAAGGGGGTCAGGGAGGGCCAGTGTGTTTTTTAGATGAGCTGAATTAATCTTGAGGTTTATGGAAAATCAGGCTTTCTTGATAACAGCAAAAGGAAAGTGGAAAATTATTTTAAGCTGAGGCATCACCTTTCTGGCGAAGGCAGAGAGCTTAGTGCTGTGGATGACATTCAAGGGCGCAGGGATATTTCAGCCAGACTTGAACGATGGGTGTTGGTCAAGATAAGTGAGCAATTGGTCAATTTGTGTGAAATTACCGAGTTTATATAAAGGTGAGATACATGAAGTGTAACATGTTTATAACTTCAAAAGTGTGCTAAAAAACCCCATGGTAGACACAATATATCCCTACCCGTCTTTGTCCCACACCCCCTGTTGTTTCAGTTCTCAGAGATAGTGTTTTTCAATTATGACTGATTCTTGGGTTTTTATTTATTTATTTTTTTTAAGGAGTTTATTTATTTGTCAGAGAGAGAGAGAGAGAGAGAGAAAACAAGTAGGCGGAGCTGCAGACAGAGGGAGAGAGAGAGGGAGAAGCAGACTCCCTGCTGAGTAAAGAGCCGGCGGTGGGACTTGATCCCAGGACCCGGAGATCATAACCTGAGCAGAAGGCAGATGCTTAACTGATTGAACCATCCAGTCATCCCACCATTGTAATTTTAAAACTGCCGTCTTCATATCCAGTTTTAGATATCGTCTATTGACTTAAGGTGGTTGACTGTGCTTTCTTAAATCTTCCCATTTCTCTTAGGATAATATATCACAATTCCTGGTGAAATCCTTAATGTTTTTACTGCTTTGATTTTGTAAATATCTAGTGTTGAGCACGAAGTGTAGGTGTATTTCCTATCATATAGTATATTCTAGGATGTCTTTTGTTTTGTTATTATAGTTGATAATTGTTTCACAATTTCATTTGCTTATTAGTCTTCTTGGAAACATTGGCTGGTTGGTCTCACTCTCCAGCAGCTTCCACAAAGCTTTCAAGTCATTTGCACATACCTGTCCTCCATTTAATGAACTTCTTTTTGTAGAAATTAAATTCCCTTCATGGAACCTTTCATCTTTCTGCTCCTGTCTGTCCGGGTGTACTCATTAGCTGCTATACTGCATGGCTGCCTCTCTAGGAATTCTTTACTTACTTTTCTGTTCTTTATCTTCTGTTTCCTAGATATCATGTTTTCTTTTTTCTTGGTTTATTTCCTCAGTTTGTTAAGAAACATTCCCAGGAGGTTTCTGAGAAAGGAAGCATGGGAATAGGTATTTTCAGACTTTGAAAGTCTGATAATGTCTTGATTCTGTCTTCACACTTGATTGCTATTTGGTTAGGTAGAGTCTTCCAAGTTATAAATATTTTCCCCTTAGGATTTTGAAGGCATTTATTTCTTCACTATATCTGGTCTTCCGGTGTCAGTGTTGAGAAGTCAGTATTTTACTGCTCTCCCTTTGCTCTCTCCTCCGATCCCCTGAGGTTTTAAGATTTTCTCTTTATCCCTAGTGTTCTGAAGTTTCACCATGACACAGGTCTTCCTCTCCACCCCCATTCATTGTGCAGTGTGCTTTCTTGGATTTTTGGCTGTGTAAACTCATGTCTTCAATTTGGGGAGATTTTCTTCTGATTTCTTTCTCTGATCATTTCCTCTTTCATTTTCAAATACAGCTGTGGAACTGTTAGTCATATTGGACCTCTTAAGTTTAATTTTTTTTTTTTTTTTTTTTAAAGATGGAGACTTTACACATCCTGTTGCTTATCTTTCTCTTTATCCTGCCTTTTGGAAGATTTCTTTGGCTTTATATGTCAGGATTTTTACTGAATTCAAGATTTTCTGTTCTATAAACACATAAATTATACTTTCCAAGAGCACTTTTTAATAGCATCTTGTTCTTGTTTCATGGATGCAGGTTCCTATTTTAACTGTTTCCTCGACAGGAAAGAAGAAGTGAGGTTGAGGAGAGTGGTCTCATTCCTTTTCTAAAATTTCACCTAACCTTTTAGCCCTTTAGCCTTTAGCAGTTAAAATCAATTTAGCAGTTAAAATCAGACTGATCCAGAACTTAGTGTTTGAAACCAGGGATGATTTATGATTTCTCACAGTTCTGTGGGTTGGTTGGTTCAGATGACCCCTGACACGTGTCTGACTGTTGGCCGACTGGCTGGCCTGGTAGGGGCCCTCTGCTGGAATGAATGGCTCATCCCAGTTTGGTGTGGTCTTTTATCTTCCAGTGGGCTAGACTGGGCTTTTTCCTGCATTCAGGGGGTGAGAAGGTGGGGCCTGCTCTCTCAAGAGGCATAAGCTTGGAACCGAGTATCATCACTTCCATCACATTGTGGTTTTCAAAATAAGTTGTAAGGCTAGCCCAGATTTAGGAGATGATTATTAAATAGACTACTTCTTGATGGAAGAAGTTGCATAGAATGTTTGGTTACGTGTCTACTCCCACTGTTTCCCTTTTGGCGCCTCATTCCACTGCTTGTGTCCAGTTTCAGACCTAAGTCATTTAAAATTTCTTCATCCGATTTTGTGACCTCCTGTTTTGGTTCAGGTTTGCAGGTATCTCAGTTTCCCAGAAGATGGAGTTTGTGTTTTGTTTCTTGTTCTTTATACTGGTTGGGGTTAATTTTTGAGGGAAGTAGGTGGAAACTACTTTCACTTTAAGACTGGAAATATTCTCTGTGAAGATGAAAGGAGAGTACAGGGGTTCAGCATAAACGAGAGGACTGTTGTTCTTATTCTATCTGTGATGATGGATTCTTTTCACTTACATCAGTGAATCAAATTTATGTATTCCATGCCTGGGCTGGGTGCTATCATTCCTTGCCTTCCATCAGTTTATAATCTGAGGATGTAAGATACTCTTACAAAAATGGAACTACTGGGGCACCTGGGTGGCTCAGTGGGTTAAAGCCTCTGCCTTCAGCTCAGGTCATGGTCTCAAGGTCCTGGGATCAGGCCCCACATCAGGCTCTCTGCTCAGCGGGGAGCCTGCTTCCCTTTCTCTCTCTGCCTGCCTCTCTGCCCACTTGTGATCTCTCTCTGTCCAAAAAAAAAAAAAAAAAAAAGGAACTGTCTTCACCAGGCCTAACTTTACCACCATCTATGGAATGAGTAACACCTGGGTATGATGTACTTTAAGCATCCTGTAATTTCCAATGAGGAAGGGGCCACTTTGGCCTGGGTAGTTAAAAGAGGCAATGTGAAGGCAGATATCAGAAGGTGGGTGGGATTTTGATTAACAAGAGGGTCTGGCTGTGTAAGGCCTTTGTTGATAGGACAGAGGCAATCTGAGCAAAGGAATGGTGGTTTAAAAAAAAAAAAAGTTGAAACAGAACTGGGGAGAAGAGATTGGTGAGAGTGGAGGTTCTCCAGTGGAAAATGAGTAGGGTAGGTAGGGAGAACGGATTATGGGTGTCCTTTCAAGCCACAGTAAGGGCTTTGTCATGTTCTTTAAGAACTGAAGAGTCTAATTTTTTTTTTTTTCTTTAGAGCAGATGATCACCTGGGGGCAGGGAAGTTGTTTGAAAGGACGGGTAGGGGGGGGATCCTTTCTCCAGAGAGGTGGAACTTAAATCTCCTACCTAGATGGCAGGAGATGAGAGATTGCTGGGTGATGACAGTGGGAACTGAAAGGTAGGAATATCCATAAGAGGTTGTTTTAAAGAAAAAATTGTGGCTTTGGGGATAACCTTCCTCTAGAGGATGAAGCTGCATCCTGGTTGGCTCACTTTGGCTCTAGAGCGGATAAAGGATGCTGTCATGGACGGTATTGGAGAACACTGGGAAGGAGACCTGTCTTAGGGGAAGGAAGATGAGGGCATTGGTGTGTGTTGGGCTTGAAGGGGTGTTGGGACTTTGGGTGGAGATGTTTATCTAGCAAGCACTGTTAGAAATAAGCATCTGGGATGAAAACTGGGGAGCTTATTTTATAACAGGGGTGGTTCAGATCTTAAGATTGGAGCAACTCTTGAATAGGGAGAGAAGAGAAAGAAAAGGAGGAGTGTGCGACAGAGCCCAGGACCACGTGTGAAGGGTACCTTTCAGAGAATGGTTGGAAAAAGGTGAAGATTAGATAGATCTGAGAAATAAGAGTGTGTGTGTGTGTGTGTGTGTGTGTATGAGAGAGAGAGAGAAAGAGAGAGAGAACATGGTTCCCACTATTGAGGAGGAAGAGAGAGCCTTGTAAGCAAATGGAATGGAAAGTTACCCTGTAAGTACTATTTACCTCTTTCCAGAGGGTAAGGAGCAGGCTGGTCCTAACCATAGAAAGGTGAAGAGCCATGGTTTGGCTGCTGGCAAGGAGCGGCGCATTCTGAAGGAGTACGTGTTCTGAGTGTAGTGTTCAGGACTGTGGCGCTCCCTGATGCCTATGTAGAGAGCAGCAATGTTGCTATTGTACACCATCTAGGTGGATCCTGGACATGCCCAATCTTTCCTAATGACTTGAATCCTAAACCTTTCCATGCAAACAAGGGTGACCTCTTTTCCTTTGCAAGCATTTGATGTTAACAAATGATGGAGAAATGGGATTGTTTCTCTTAAGAGCCCAGTAGATAATAAGACATTGTACTCCATTTAAATAACCACTTACAAGTTAGATATGATCCTGGTTCCTAAATTAAATATGGTGAGGCTGAGCAGTTTTGGAGACAGGGACAGTTAACACAGTAATTGTGGCTGTGGGATAATTCTGGGCCACCAGTACCAAGACAGACTGTTGACTTTCCTATGGTGGGACTTGTCAGTGGATGAAAGCCCGTGGCTGCAGACCAGCGTTGTTTTTTCAGGCTCTGTGCCACACACAGGCTTCTGAGCTGAGAGTCCTGCATGACCATTGGTTGGTTTGTAGGATTTGTGGCTTGGTCATTTGAATTTGGATGTCCATATTGTAAACCTGGCAGTACTTTTTAGAAAAGTGAATTGAAGCACTATTTAATAAAAATACAACTTTGAAGTATGTGTCCCATTGACAGTTGTAATTCATCATTATTCTAAAAGGACAACTTGGGGATATAGGCTGAATATGACCTATTTTGCTACTTATTTTATCTGAATGGTAACATGTTTGCTTATAATTGATAGATCAGCCAGTGTTTTAGCCCCGATGATGGCCATTCTCAGCACTGTGTCTTCTGTGCACAGGGAGGCTCATGCACCTGTACGCGGTGTGCGTGGACTGCCTGGAAGGGGTCCACAAGATCATCTGCATCAAGTGTAAGTCGCGGTGGGACGGCAGCTGGCACCAGCTGGGCACCATGTACACCTATGACATCCTGGCTGCCTCTCCGTGCTGTCAGGTTGGTATCAACCCCCCAGAGTGAGGGGGTGAACTCTGGCTCTGTCCCCTGGCGAATGCAGAGGAGATAGAGCCGCACCATCGTTCGTTCAGGGGAGAGCAAGGAAGATAGCTCTAGTGGCTCTACCACCTCACCCCCGAGTCCGGGAATGATGGCTAATTTACCATGGTGTGACGAGGGTATTGTAGAATAGGGGGTATTGTAGAATAATATATAATTAATGGGAAATATTTTTAGGGTATTAAGTGAAAAAAGTACTTTATAAAATGGTGTAACAGTATGCTTCTATTTGTAAAAAGTGACTACAGAAAGGGATCTGCTAACCTATAAGCCCGAGATTGTGTCTGCATGCTGGGATGCTAAGTGGTTCCTGTCGCTTGTATTTTCTTGTTTTGTGTGACTAACATATACTTAGGTTCTAATAAGAAAAAGTCATTTATTTATTTATTTATTTATTAATTACGATTTTATTTATTTGACAGAGATCACAAGTAGGCAGAGAGGCAGGCAGAGAGAGGGGAAGGGAAGCAGGCTCCCTGCTCAGCAGGGAGCCCGACGCTGGGCTGGATCCCAGGACCCTGGGATCATGACCTGAGCCGAAGGCTGAGGCTTTAACCCAGTGAGCCACCCAGAAACCCCAAGAAGAAGTCATTTAAAAGGAAGCAGAAACTTTTACTTTCTTTGGTGGACAGCATTTTCTTTTTGCTTCCTTTCTGTGGGGTAGCACAATTAAACAGGGGCTGCCTTCTTCTACTGTGTTGGAGGCTATCATGAAATGTTTGTAATCCTTAAAGCATTGCTGAGAGGAAGCATTTTCCGAAGTTTAGCTGTCACCAGAGGAAAGGGAGGTAGTAGTCCGGGAAAACACATTAAATAAGTTCATGGAAACACAGGAGGTAAAACAAAATCCTTGGAAGTATCTTGGTTAATTTCCAAGTGCTTGGAGGAAAAGAGAGCCTTGTTTTAGAATTCCTTCATGTTCATGGGTGGGAGAGGATTTTACTTTGCTCTTTAGTCTCCAAGCCTGGCTTTAATACAAATAACTATTAAGCACTTCGTTAGTTACTACATAGCTTTGTATTTTTAGCACTATGGTGTGATTTTTAAAAAAAGAATATCCTGTGATAAGCTGTGCAGGTTGAAGGAAAAGGTTGGCCGAGCGGGTGCTTTAGCCGTACTTTGTTTATACTAGTGTTCTCAAAAGAGAGCTATGGTCAGGGGAGACCTAAATGGCCATCCATAGCCTGTCGTTTGATTCCAGACAGGGCTGACTTTTCTCGTATGCTATTCTAATATATTGACCACATTTCCATTTCAAAATTCCATTAGCCTTGGAAATGAGATTTCAAAGTCTTTTTAGCTGCGCCCTGTAGCATTTTGTAGTACTCAACTGTGCTACAGCGCCAGCTCTTGGATGAGAGAAACAGAAGGAAGTGGCTCCTCTAGTTGACACACAAGAGAGGGTTCCTTTTTAAAGAACTAAGGAAGGAAAAAGAGTTTGGGGCCGTTCATTGGTGCTAGAAAGGACGTGGGAGAGCTAGGTTAGCCTCCTTGTTTTCCACATGCAGTGGGGGTCTTTACAAATGTGGCACAGCCACTAAAACCTCTAACTCCCTGTCTGCTCCTCTTTCTGCTATACCACTGAGAGGCAGTGGGATTATGTCCTTATCTTTAGGGAGGAGAGCAGAATGGCATCCTGCCATAGCCAGCCTGTTGGTATTTACTATGTATTTCTTCCTTAAAACAATGTGAGCCCAGACCTCTATTTTCTGGCCTTGAACTAAAAGTGGAAAACAATGTTTGATTACTCTTTGGCTTTAAAAAAAAAAATGTCAGTTAACTACAGTTCACTCTTGAACAACATGTGGGGTAGGGGTACTGACCCCATGTGCGGTCGAAAATCTGCCTGTAACTTTTAACTCCCCAAACACTTAAATACGAACAGCCTGCTGGTGACCAGAAGCCTTACTGATAACATGAATGGTTGATTGACATGTATTTTGTATAAGTATTTTATACTGTATCCTTACAATAAAGCAAAGGAAAGAAAACATTATAAAGAAAATAATAAGGAAAAGAAAATACATTTAATAGTCCTGTACTGTATTTATTTTTAAAAAGCTGCTCATAAGTGGACCTGTGTAGTTCAACCCATGTTGTTCAAGGGCAACTGTGTATTCACTGGGAAGGTGTAAATGTTAGACGCAATTAAGGAATCCAGGAAGGTCTTCTACTAAGACTTTGAGCCGAAAAGAAGCTTAATGGTTAATTATTTGAAAGGAATAACAGCTTAAAGAGAATGATTAAAGAGAGAGGTTTGCCCAGAATTTCACTTTTTTTTTTTTTTAAGATTTTATTTATTTGTTAGCATGTGGGAGCACAGGCAGACAGAGTGTCAGGCAGAGGCAGAGGGAGAAGCAGGCTCCCTGCCGAGCGAGGAGCCCGATGTGGGACTTGATCTCAGGACCCTGGGATCATGACCTGAGCCGAAGGCAGCTGCTTAACCAACTGAGCCACCCAGGCGTCCCCCAGAATTTCATTTGTTGTTCAGAGCGATTAGTCAGCTAAAAGGGAATTTATCTTAGCCACAGAAAGGTTGTCCGCGTCATGACTAAGAATGTGGGCTCTGGAATAAGCTTCTTTGGTCCAGTCCTCAGCCTTTCTGCTTCCTAACTATGTGGCCTTGGGCATGTTGCTATCAGTCTGTGCCTGTGTCTTCGTCTAAATTCACAGACCACCACGTAACTCCCGTGAGTATGTTGAGGACAAAATGAGATTATACTTATTACATTTCTGGAATGTATCTAAATTGAGAGACTGTTGTATCTGTCATTTCTGGTTATTCCTTTAAGTTCTTGGACCTTGCGCTAAAAGATTCTAGTCTTGTGCTGTTAGAGACCCAGGCACAAAGGAAGATCTAGTGTGCGGTGGTTTCCTGAAGCCTCAGGATCCACAGAGCACTTCTTCCTGGATTGTTAATTTTGCTGGAGTGTTTTCGGGAAATTTTATTTTTACATCAAAGGAAACAAGTGTAGTAAGGAGCAGAATGCGAAAATGTGTATGAATTTTTAAAAAAATAAACTCAGCCCAGTCCATGAAGTTTCTTGAGGCTTTGAATGAGGGGAGTCAGCTTCAGCCTCTTCTTACAGTCCCGGGGGAGGGGTGTCCTGTTGTTAGGGGAGCCTCCTTGGAGCAGTTCAGCCCCTGCGGGTTGGGAATTTTGCTCCTGCCAGTAGGTGAAAGTGCTCAGGGTGCCGCAGGTCAGAGGGAGGTGAGGAGTGAGTCTGTCAGACGGGTGATGAATGTGTGAATGTGTATCTTCCGCTCTGCCTCCCCTGCGTTTGCTAACAAGAGAGACAGACGCTCAGCTAAACTCCAGAGCAGTTCCTCAGACCTCACGGTGTTGCGTTTTGGCGTGGGTGGCGGTGACAGCGTGGCGAGGCGGAGGGAAGGGTGCGGGGGCTGACGCGTCTGTGTTTCGCCCGCAGGCCCGCCTGAACTGTAAGCACTGCGGGAAGCCCGTGATCGACGTGCGGATCGGGATGCAGTACTTCTCCGAGTACAGCAACGTCCAGCAGTGTCCGCACTGTGGGAACCTGGACTACCATTTCGTGAAGCCATTTTCCTCCTTCAAAGTTCTCGAAGCTTATTGATGAAAGCTTTGCTTTAGGAATAGCTATTTTATTGACTTTTATTTCTTTATTACATATCTTTTATAGGGAAACATTCTGTGACATGACTTTCTTTTCTAATTTAAAGGAGAGTTTCTTTGTGTATGTGTGCCACTAAAATGGGTTTGGCCCCTTGCCCTCTCTTGACTCCTGAGTGTTGGTCTGTGGTCCTGACCTGAGCCCAAATGGATAATCCCGTCAGTCTGGGGTAGAGGTTCACTATCACTAAGAGTCTCTCTGGACAGCTTTTAAGGTGGTGGGGAGGATAGGGTGGATTTAGTTAAAGGGATTATGGGATTATCAACTAAAAGCCTGGTGGGAGTTGGAAAGAAACTCTTATTAAAATGTTAACTGTCTAAAGACCCACTTTTAAGATCCTGCTCTGGGCCTTGAGAAGAACATGCGACAGTGACTGTAAGTCTGTGCCTGGAGCTCTGGGAGTGCACTACTCTGTCTTGACTCAGTGTTGTGCCAGCACACTGACGTGCAGATGATTGGAAAGCAGACACGAGTGGTGTTTCTGTCACCTCTGTGATTAGGCAGGCAGTTTTCACACTGAAAATTATATCCAAATTATAAGACATAGGAAAACTGGTGGTGTTGCAAATGTTTTTAGGTAAACTGACCTGTAACAGAGAGAACATAATGAATTTGGAAGTGATGCACATGGACTCAAGGGGGCAAGATCGGGCGGGACCCTGTCTCTGGAATTGCGTCTTTGAAGTTGGTCAGATGAGCTCTTAAGGAGAACCCATGAATGACATGATTTGGGTGGTACTGATTTATGTAGGTTGCACTGTCCAAGTGCCATTTGATGTCAGATTCTTCTCACAGGTAAATCTCACAGCCAGAGACCCTAACTGGTGAAATTCAGAACCATCATCACTATGCTTTTTCTTCCACAAAATTGTTATGGCCACATTTTACCCATTTAATGCTGAGCTTCCCAAATCATAGGTTTGACCCCAAGAAGGAAAGGGAAAAATTGCTTTGTGAGTATATGAGGAAAGGAATAATAATTTTAATATTTCTTTTTAAAGTGTGTTTTCATTTCTCAAAACCACGGACTGTAATATATAACAGTATTTTGAAAACAGATCATTCTGAAGCTCTCCATGATACTTCACCATTAGTGAAACAAGATGATAATTTGTATAACTTGATTAGTCAGAGCATTGGGCTTTCCAAAATACAGCATACAGCCTTTTGTAATTAGAGCTTGATGATTTAAATAGACTGACACCCTGTACCATCATAGAATTGGAATTGGAATATGATTTCTCAAAAATGGATTCGGTAATTTCAAGTATTGTACACATATATGCTAATAGAAAGCTGAAAATACATCTGTTTTCTGGGTAGCCAAATTTGGGGTGATGTGAACAGTTTGTATTACTCATGTGGTTTATACCTTTTTTTTTTTTTTTTTTTCCCCTCAGAAGAACAGCTGTTTTTCCTCTGAGAAGTTTTTAGGTATTACTGCAAGCAAGTTTCAGTTCTACTGTATGAAATATTTGATTTTTTTTTTTTGAAACAACAGAGCATTGAAGAACCAGTATATCAGCTAATGTTCTTATCTTTCAGTTTGGATGATTGTAATTCGGTTTATTGCCTCTCATTTGGTGTTTAATGGTCTGAAAAATATTTCACAGTGGGGGGAAATGCTCAGTGCCTCTACCGAAGCAGCAAATCGATATTGGCCTGAAAAAGGCCTATAGGACAGAGCCCTTGCAGATGTGTCCTTAACACACAGAGCTGTATTTGTGAGTTAACTGGTGCCCCACTGATTCTCTCATGTACCCAAGTATAAAAATTCGTAGGTTTCTCGTGTCTTGAGGTAATATTTGAGTTTCAGTTCTGAATTTCAAACGGATAATAAAATATTTGTAATGCTGTTTTTTAATGCACCTAAAATTTTATAGAGAAACCTGCGTATTATTACTGTTCTGGATCTTAAAGTTTATGTATAAATCATGTTCACAAGCCCCTTAGTCTAAAACTGCTGTGAATGTGGTGTCTGATGCATTCAGTATTTTCTTCTTCCATTGGTTTATACTCTCCAAAAAATAAGTAGGAGGAGTTTTCCCTGTAATTGGATAAAATTTGCTTTTGGCCTTTATTTGGACCACAAAGTTAGGATTCTGTGGATGCTGCAGTTCTGAAAAAGGAGAGGGATAGGTATCATCTCTATAGGATGATTCTCCCTATAGAATATTGTTGCCGTTAAGGCATCACATTCTCTTCTAAAGTAGAAAATCTGGCTTATTTGAGAATGAAATATAATGAGTATGCAACAATGTGGAGAATAAATCTTATTTTGGAAATCTGCTATCCTTAGTATTTTCACCAGATTTTCTCAAAGTACTTTGCTTTGAATACATCAGTGGAAATTGGAGTATGTCAAAAAAGATGACTATTTTGTTGTGGTTTGGATATTAAAGGATATTAGTCACCCAAGAGACCCATTTTTCTGTTTTTCTGATAGTGTTCAATAAAATGAACCACTCATAAGTGACTAATAATTTCAAAGTGATTTTTTTCACCTGTTCTAACTTTTTTTAAAAAAATCATTTATTTTTTTAAGAGTTCTGTACCTGGAACAAATAAAATTTTACCTGCTTCAGTTCAGTGAGAAACCATTTCTGATGACTTTATCGATTCTCTTCAGGCTGACTCAGTTCTCCATTCTCTTCTGGTTGCACATGAAGCAAGTGATAATACCGAGTTTATCAACTGCTTGATTAAAAGATAGACATTGGCCATGAAATTGGCCGGTGGGATGAATTATTCCATTCAAACTAAGCCAGAGCTCTCCCCGGTCTTTAATTTCCAGGTTTTGCAGAAGAAGTTTATTTTCAGAGTAAAAAGTATTTTCATTGCTTTTGGGGGGAAATTAACTCATCAGGAAGGAATATTATTAGGTGTTTAAATACTAAAACTAACAGGCTGATGCATAACTTAGTAGACCATGAAGACTAATTTGCTAAAATTTTGTGTTTTGTCCCCTAAGACCAACGCCTCACATACAGTTGGTTCTCCTGCGCCCGGGTCGGGACCTCCGCGTGGCTTCTCCTCTTTGGTCTCCTGGTTGCAGCTCTTGGGCAGTTTCAGTTGGTTGTTTGGGAGGACTTGAGGAGAAAGCGCTCCTGTTCAGTGTTTTGGTTCTTTTAATAGGATGCTGCCTAACCCAGCTCATCTCTATGTCCTTTGACTTCATTATTACTCCAGGTAATTGAAAGAAAACATAACGGATGGGCATCGTTAAAACCAGCTCAAAAATACATTCTTGTCCTAAAGATTTCTTGTCAAGATGTCTTGGATTGCACTTTTGTTGAGGGAAGACAGTGTAAATAGTTAAAGAATGTGGATAAAACTGAAACATTTGGTTATGGAATTGTGTGTGGTGTTTGAAGGTTTCTGTTTGTGAAATGTATGTATTAAAAATAATAAAATCTCAGAAGCTAACGTTGTACTCTCTCTTCGGAGTGTCACTTTATTTTTTTGTTTGGGCTTCAGGGTTTTGGAGCTTGGGCCTATTTGATCAGAATAGATAATGGGGAAGCCTTTCTGGGGTTTGAGCACAGTCCGTTCTCGGTCACTGCTGCCGGTCATGGGAACCGCAGCTTCTTTATGCTGTTCGATGGTGGCGGGTCGCATGCAGCCTACCTTCGCAATACAATAAGCCTTCTATAGAACAGAGTTACTTCCATATAGATGGTCCAAAGTTAATTGTTCTGGTTATAGGGAGCTCTATTAAATGGGTAGACAGTCCTAGTCTACAGATTTTTCTCGGGTTCCCATGCCTGTAACAATTTTTATAACGAGAAGACTTGATCATACACTGCTTCATTTTAAGAAAATGAAAACTGAGTTGTGATTAAACCTCTTGCGATTTTGCACTGTGGTCAGGTATGTTTTAGCTTTTAAATCTCATTGTCCCTTTCGTTTCCACTGTCATTCTCAGCTAGTGAATTGAAATCCACAAAAACACTGGAACACAGGAGAAGAGGTGGAAATGTGGGTGAGGGACGGGTCTCCAGTTTGCCAGTGGATTCAAAGGCTTGTCTTCCCACACTGCAGACATCTCAGGCATAAATTTTATTTTATTTGAAGCCATAAGGACTCGGGATCTTACGGTTTCTGCTAGTGTAATTTACTCAACAAAATTCCTTTGCAGTTGTAAGAAAAATACAGTTCTTAACTGTGGCAGAGCAGAAAGAGGAAACGAAGTTAAGCAGTGATTGATAGGAATTAAGTTTAATGGGAGAAGAATCTTGTTTGTTTGTGTGGTTTCCATTTCTTTAAATCCGGCTTATATTGTTTTCACTTAAATCTAGCAGCAATTAAATTCCTAATTATGCAGGCAGTTTTCTTGAGTGAAGAGGTAAATTTTGGGAGAAAAAAAAGCTTGCCTTGAGTTTGTGTTCTTTCCATGTTTTGCTAGTTGGCCATAGTTGGGATAAACCTTACTTAATGAATATGAAATACCTTTGAAGATTTTAAATAATTTTTTTTTAGTTTTTAAAAAATAAAAAGTTAAAAAAATTAAAAAATTTTTTTCAAGGAATATTTTTCCCTGTAATGGCAGCCTGTAGCTGCCTATTACTATTTTAAATAATTTTTTTCAAGGAATATTTTTCCCTGTAATGGCAGCCTGTAGCACTGTGGTAATGACTTCATACAAGCTCCATCTAGTATTGCTATGCCTCAGGGGTGGCAAAATAAAAATTAACAAAGTACTTTGATGGAGTTCAGTAGGACGACACTGTTTACATTTGTTGGTGCTCAGCAGATAGAATCTGCTGCCATTACATCATTTCATCATTTTCTGGTGAGGGATACTATGCCAAGTGGTTCTGATACATAAGATCAAAAATTTAGATCATATCTTAAAATCAAGTTTAGAGCTATCTAGTTCCATGTCTCATAAACAATAAGAGTAAAAACCCATAGCCATAAAAGCCTAGAATTTAGAGATGCCAGAATTTAGCACAAGGGTTATGTTTTCAGTTGTATTCACAATAATATATGTTTGTTAAATTGCATCACTATTGTACTTATTTTAGAGAGAAATGGAGGCTTAGAGAATTTAAATCTGTATAATAAATTCACGTAGCTAATGGCTGAGAATATTAAGTCTGGGTTTCTTCTCCTAGCCCTCCAAATAATATCAATGGATGGGTACTTTGCTTAGACGTGAGAGTTAACTTTGGGTTTATTTTCACAAGACAGTAGATGTAAAAAGTATAGCCCTCGTTTTAGCCAGACAGGTGCTAAAATGGCAGTAATTCTGAGCATTTTCCCTGAACTGTTGTATAAGGGTGACACGTACTTTTGAAAGCATCCCTTCTTTTTAGAAGAAAAAACCAAAGAGGAACACTTTTATAAAAGGGAAAAATAGTATTTGAAATCAGTAATTGTGTCTTTTGCCTCATTTTTTGTGCATTAATTTCTTGACATGTGTTCCCTTTTATTTGAGCATTGCTTGAGGGTATAAGGTGACATTTTAACAGTCTGCACTAAGAATTCACCATTTTATTCACTTTGGGATCTGACTTTGAGTTGTTTGATTCCAACATGTCCAGCTATCAGATTTGATAGCATTGGTCTCTGCAATTTGGGCAGGGTTTTCCTTTTTGACTAATGTTTCAAACAGTTTCTCTTGGTGTGTTTCATTTTTGGTTTCTCACTATTTTGTCTGAAGCTCTGGTATCTCAGACTTTTTTTTTTTTTTTTTTTTTACTGTTTTATTTATTTGACAGAAATAGAGCACAAGCAGGGGGAGCAGCAGGCAGAGAGAGAGGGAGAAGCTGAGCAGGGAGCCTGATGTGGGTCTTGATTTCAGGACCCTGAGATCATGATCCAAGCCAAAGGCAGATGCTTAACCCACTGAGCCACCAGGGTGCCCCTCTGAGGCTTTTTTTGAGTTTTATTTGTATTCCACACAGGCTTAGAGGGAAAACGCTGGTTACATGTTTCTTTTAGTGACTTAAGATTTTTTATGGTCTAGGGGCTATCTCTTGAGCTAATATGTAGCGATACTCCAAGTTACTGCAAAACCGTGAGTTGGCAATCAGTGCCTTATACTTGTTTTCATCATGTTAACAAATCACATATTTTTCTGAAGCTCTGTTGACATAGCATGGTGGTTGATGAAAAAGTAAAGCTAAGGTGAAGCCCCTAGGCTAGAGT